AATTTACTCTGTAAATCTTCACCCAAATCCTAAAAAAAAAAAGAATGGTTATAATCAATAAAACGGAAAATAACCAATGCTGGTAAGTAGATAGAGAAATCAGAACTCTTGTACACTGCTGGTAGGAGTGTAAAATGGTACATTAATTCCAAAAACAATCTGACAGTTCCTCAAAAGGGTAAACATAGTTCCTCTATCACCTATTCTACTCTCAGGTATATACAAGAAAAATGAAAACTTTTATCCACATAAAAACTTGTACATGAGCATTCATAGGGGCATTATTCATAATAGCCAAAAAATAAAAACAATCCAAATGCCCATCAAGTGATGAATGAGTAAATAAAATATCGTTTATCAATATAATGGGATATTATTCAGTGTGATAGGCACAATAATACCTGCCAAAGATGTCCACGTCCTAATCTTTGGAACCCCTAAATACGTCACCTTTCAGGGGAAAAGCAACTTTGCAGATACGATTAAAGTTAAAGATCTTCAGATGGACTGAATATCCTGAATTATCCAGATGAGCCCAATCTAATTACATGAGTCCTATATGCAGAGAGCCATAGATGCCAACATGAAAACGCAATCTGCTAGTGCTACCTTTGAAGATGGAAAAAGGGGGCCATGAGCCAAGGAATATGAGTGGCCTCTACAAGCTGAAAAAGGCAGGGAAACATTCTCCCTGACAGCCTATCATAATGAATGCAGTACAGCCAATACCTTGATCTTATGTCAGATTTTTGACCCATTCAACTGTAAGATAATAAATTTGTATTGGTTTTAGCTACTAAGTTTTTAGTAACCTGGTATGGCAACAATAGAAAACTAATACATCCATCAATAAATAAGAAAGTCTTGCTGCAACATGGATGAACAATGAAAACATTAAGTGAAAGAAGCCTATTACAAAGGACCACATACTGTGTGATTCCATTTACATGGAATGTCCATCACTAGCAAATCCAGAGAGACAAAAAGTAATTAATGGTTGGCAAAGGGAAGGGGTTAGGGGAAAAATGACGAATGGTTGCTAACATGTGTGGGTATCTTTTTGGTAATGAAAATACTCTGAAATCAATGGTAGTGATGATTGCACAACTCTGTGAATATGCTTTTTTAAAAAAATCACTGAATTATACACTCTACATAGGTGAACTGTATAGCATATGTAGTATATCTCCATAAAGATGTCTTAAAAAACAAGAAAGGAAGGCTTATGTAATTAAAAAATCTTTATTATCACAGTACAGTCAGAATTCCCACACTGGTCAGTGTTAACAATCTACTAGGAAAAGTTTAGCTATGAAAACTAAGGGATTGTAGGGCAAAACAGACATCAAAAAGCAAAGCAAGAAAAGAAGAATCAAAAATTAAAAATGTGAAACAAAATTCAAAACTATAAGACTAGGATTATTGGTCAGAAAGAGACTGGTGAAACCCCCAAGACTATGGTCCTAATCACCCTAGAATTGGACTCACTTCCTAGCTTAACTCTCAGCCAAACTGTCTACAAGCTAAACAACTACACCAGGGAGATGCACTCCTTAGAACAGTCAACCATGAGAGATCAGAAGGGCAGCATTTGCATAGGATAAAGCTAGGTATGCAGGGATATACAGGTAACAAGGACACAAGGAGTGGTAACCTTCAGGGAGTAAGTGGGAGGTGAGCTGTTATATTGTGAGGACTGTAAACAGTGTCATCATGAAACAAAGTATATATGAACTGTTGAAAGAATCTGCTTTGTTAGAAATGCACTCAAATCACAATAAAAAAGTTTTAAAAGTAGACTTTTAGCTCCATATAAGTATGTTTACTATTATTATTATATTATCCATATAACATATATTAATAATAGTAAACATACTTATGTTATATGGCGCTAAAATATTATCCATATAACATATATATAGGAGCTCTGGTAGCATAGTGGCTAAGGCACTTGACTGCTAACCAGAAGGCTGGCGGTTCAAACTCACCAGCCACTCCTCGGAAGGAAGGTTGGGCATTCCTACTTCCGTAGTGATATTGCCTCGGAAACCCAAGGAGGGGTCGCTATGAGTCGGGCCGACTCGATGGCAAATAACAACAACAACAACATAACATATATGTCACTCTACAGAATTAGAGTAACAAAGTTTGTATTGCCCATTTTATATACCAAGTACAGAAAAATCCTTTCTTTTAATGCTAACCAAATATATACTGCTTCAAATATTCATTTTTATAGATAAAAACAAAATATTTGGAATAGTGATTCAAATGACTATACCTACTCCTCACTTACAAGCTATCTCTGTCCACATTTCACATTTACGACACGAGAAAAAATCTACCATCCAACTATACGGCACATTAACAAAGCAGTAGGCATGGTGGCTGCAACAGCTACAGAGAAACTCCTCCTTTGAGGACGGTCTCTCCGTGGCCTCTAGGAAGCTGGGCTATGCTGCCTTGAGCCCTCCTGCCAGCAGGATCACTGCATCCAGCTGCTGCCTTGGGACTGACCTACTCTACGGCCACTGCCCGGGTGTGGATACACAGGCAGCAACAAGCAGGATATGCCTGTGTGAGTTTCCAGCTTTTATGCAGCCTGAAACCCTACAACTCAAAACTGCTGTGGGGTGGGAAGGGAGGAATGAAAGAGGCACAAAAGAAGATGTTTGGAAGAAATACATTAGACTTCAATGACATACCAACGTGAGCTAAATTGGGCCTCAGTGGGGCCAGGTATGCTGGAAGCCTCAAGCCTCGTTGATTCACCAGGCCCAGAGAGCAGAGCAAGCTCCAGGATCTCAAAGGCAGGGCTTGCAGAGGTGGAACACTGGAGGCGGCTCCCAGAGGGCCCAGCTTAGGAAGAAGGTGAAGGGGTTAAACCATGGCCCTCCAGTCACATGCTAACTTTATCCAGCTTGTCTCTTGTACGCGCGTCCTTCTCTGAAGAGGAATAATCAATAACTAGACTCATCACAGTGATGAGCACATCAGTAAATCTTCACTGTTACTATTTCTATGGTCCCATTTTCTAAATTTAAAAAAAAAAAAAAGAAGGAAAGAAAAACAGATGGTCTGCAAACAGACAATAAAAAATTCTCCATTTTTGCGTAACACCAATTTTCACATCATGACCTGGTCTTTGGAACCTCACCATGTTGATAAGTGAGGAGTGGGTGTATGTAAGTGTTCTCTCTAAATCACAATATATAAAGAAGTTTCCACTTATTTATGTGATAACCTTAAGATGAATACTGGTTAAAAAGTTCTGAAACTAGATACTGATGATGGTTGCACAATATTGTGAAAGTACTCAACGCCACTAAATTTTACACTTCAAAATGGTTAAAATGGTAAATTTGCTACACATATCTTGACATAATTTTTTAACTTTTTATTGTGATTTGGGTGAAAGTTTACATAGCAAATTGGTTTTCCATTCAACAAGTCATAAACATTTTGATTTGTGACACTGATTGCAATTTCCACAGTAAAACAACTATCTTCCCACTTCTTTCCTGTGTTTCCCATTCCATTCATCCTTCTTTCCTATCCCTTCCTGGCTTCTGTGATTTATCCCTGGGCAAATGCCACCCTTCTGATCTTGGATGGTTGGTTGTTCTAGGGAGTCCATCCTCCCTGGTGATGAGGATGTTTACCTTATAGCCTTATTATATGGCTGAAAGTTCAGCCACAGAGATGTAACACAATTTTTTTTAATCTCACAAAAAAAAAAGTATATACCCTTTAACCCATTAATTCCATTAACTAATCCAGTAATCTATCCTAAAAAATTAATGAAAAGATTAATCAAAGACTTACGTAACAAGTTATTCGAATGGCATAATTATAAATGGGTGACAATTATAAACAGTCTACACACAGTCAACAATAGTGAATTAAATAAGATACATTCAAAAAAATAAAAAATGATTAGAATAATTTACAAAAAAATTTTCTCCTTTTCTCAAGAGGTATTTACATTCATGAAACATATAATTTATAGACTCAACTGCATTATCATTTATAAAAAAATTATTTAATCATTATTTTTAACGTTTTCAGAAGATTTTATCATTGTTGTTGTTGTTATGTGCCGTCAAGTTAGACCCGACTCATAGCGACCCTTCCTTGTGTTTCCAAGTTAGTATCACTACGGAAGTAGATTGCCCAACCCTCCTTCCGAGGAGTGGCTGGTGGTTAT